AACTCTGTACAAATAATACACGAGGCAGTCCTGTGGAATTGCTATATCTAGCTACGGGAATAGAAACAGAGGAACGGGGAAAGGGTCACATTTGGAGACATATTAATGATAAAAAATGAATGAATGAAATTAAATGAATGAAAAAAATGATAAGCCTTACAGATATTTGCACGTATGTATTATTAACATGTACCTAAGAGTTTATGCAGGCAGTAGCCACTTATGAATATTTTCAAGAGAAGGACTGATTATATTTTCGTCTCATTTCCTTTTTTTCTTACCACTCACAATATGATTTCAGAATTCTGTAAACATGAGCTTAAATCTTTACCTATAAAAAGACAAAACAACCTCCCTTCCCACATCTTCCTCCTGTATGACTTGTAAACATGTGTCAAATTCATTTACTGATTTCAATGATCAGTGCTTCTATTATAGTTCTAATAACAACTCATTCACAATTAGCAGATACACATAATTACAACCACAGGCTTAATCTGCAAATATTTTTGCATTTGTGGAGCTGTATAAACATTAAGTCAGTTAAGCACAGATTTAAGCAAGCAGAGATTGAAGATTCCAGCCCGGACCCCCAAATTCTTACTTATTAAACGTAGAGGATTTAGACACGTAAGTAGAGATGAGTCAAAAAGAACCTATAAATCCTTTACATGTGAGCCGTAAGGACAGGTATGATGAGAAAACAAGTTGCTCAAGTATATAAAAGCATCCAGGGAAAATACTATAAAGATTTTCAGTGAAATACCTCTGTTTATATATGTGGTCGTGTTCGAACTGTTAATACAGCTGTCTATAAACAATTTATGGATTGAGAACTCAAGCAATCTCCAACCAGGAGATGAAAAAGTTTATGTAACAAAAGCAAATAATCAGGCACCATAAACATTGCATTAGAATAAGTTAGATATTGACTGAACATTTGAACAGTACAGTTCATGAACAAGCCATATTTTCCCAGCTATGCAAAAAGTTACTTTTGAATAAACATCTAGAGCTCAGAAAATCGATTCTATTTGAAAACCATTGAGAGCCATTCTGTCAGCTGAATTTTCCCCGTATTTTAGTTACCGCTCAAAATGATTAGTCATTAGAAGGAGGGTTTGCAAGATCTGATCAAAAGAAATCTACAGCTGCACAGAATAAAAGGTACAGTTTTGCTTGCTGCATTGCAGGACCAAACTGTCCTTTTGGAACAGTCTTGCATTCAGGAGCAATTACAGCTCATTTATACACCTACCGCCAACCACTGGAATAGGGGTAGCGCAAAATAGACAATAACAATCTGGCATTTCACTCTCACATACGTTTAAAAGAAAAAAAAAAGAAAAAAAAACCCACGTTGCACAAGAAACATATGATGAGCCCCTTCAGAAATGCAAGTGGACAAAGGGGAAAAATAGGTCATGGAAAACAGTAAAAACACGACAGCACAAAGAATTGTTAAGAGTAATGACAGGAGAGTGAAAATAAGTAAGAAAGATGATATAGTGAAAAAGATAATATGAGAGAAATTTAATCTGTACTCAAGTTACCTAGGAAACAGAATGTCTGTGTGGAGAGTGGTTTACAGGGGGAAGGAATAGCATTGTTTAGAAAAAAACAGACCTTCATAGAATCACACAAACTTTGCAAACAGAATTAGGGAAACAAAGAGGCAGTTCAAATTCCCACCGGACCCAGTGACTGGCAGTTGTGAAGTTTTAACTCAAAGAAATTTAAAATAGACACGTTATAAATCTTCTAAGGCAAGCATTTATAATGAATTTAGCAGTGCAACATAGCTGTAGCTTTGCTAATGCAATGTCACAATGATTGAGAGAAGAAAGGGCTCTACACACACACACAAAATCTAAATTTTAGATTAAAAAAAAAGTGTTAACACATCTAAAGATTTGGTGTTGGATTTCTAATCCTAATTTATAGAAGCATACCAAAATTGCTGCCTGTCTTCTAAATGAAACTGTTTTTTCCTTTTTTACAGCATCTGCTCTGGGTACGTGAGGAATATGAATCTGAAGGCTAGTGACAACAGAACTCCAAAAGATCACATCTCATCCTTCTCAACCAAGCTTCGGTGTAAAGATTCAGTTAAGATTAGCAAAGCATTTCAGGTATATGTAATCTTCAGAATCAGTTAGGATTATCCCTCACAGCCCCTCCAGCAAAAAATATTTCCTCAAAAGGCTTTTTGAGTTCAGGACACACTTTTGCCCACAATAGGAAGGAAACAGGCAGGTTATGGCAACTCTGGAATTACAAGGCCACATCTTGAGGAATCATTCTAATGCTTCAGACAACCTGCACATGGCTCTTCTTCCCTTCTTTACTTCTTCCTCTCCCTCCTTTCTAATTTTCCTGCCTCTCCAAAAGACAGCTTTGGTGTGATTTTCATTTTCTGAGAGAAGGAAGGAATAGTCTCAATCTTAACCTGATGCAAGATAGGAAAATGAGAGGGAGAGGAAAAAAAGGAGGGGAAGGGGGAAAAGCATCTTAACTTTTTCACAGGATGAGAGAATCATTTTCCACCCAGCTCTTGCAGCTAGGAAGGCATCTTCCCCATTTTGCAGGCATACATATCATGTAGTCTGTTCTTTACATTATCTCCTCCAACTACTGTTGCTCTCAGACAGAATTTCAGAGGAAAAACGGAAACAGATGGCCTGTTAGCTTTTCAGGGTAAATGACAAGCCTTGTGTGGGTCAGCAATATAAAAACCACAGCTTACAAGCCTTTAATCTGCTATTTTAGGTAAGTCTATGATGACCACTTCAGCAGTACCTTAAAAGCAAAGATACTATTCTAGGATGGGCCTGTCCTACTTGATCTCTACAATTTAAAGAATGGAGATACTTTAATCTGGCACAAACAAAATCCATTCCTTTCAAACTGCCACCCAAATTACTCCTCTGATTTGGGGAAAAAAATGACAAAACAGGTTTTGTTGTTAAAGTTTTTCAAGTTTGATTATAAGTACTATTTTGGGATGAAGACTAGTTAGCAAACTGGCCTAGCTCATGACAGGACAGAAGAATAGTGCCTTTAGGGATATATCCATAACTGTAGGCCAGAGTGGTCCATAACTAGGGTAGCTACCCCTGTCTTGGCTGATTCAACACAAGGCAAAGGAAGGGAAAAAGCAGACTTCAGCAAAAATCCCACCTTCCTACCACAGCTGCTAGCAGGAAGCGTTAGAAATCCCAAGTTCGTCTCTGGTTTGCCGGTGACATTGTGAGCTCCCCCAGCGACGGCGCAGGTGGACAGAGGCACTTCCACAGCCGGGCCGCAGCACAACCTCGCTGTCGCCTTGCGCGGCGCAACCCGCGGTGGGTTTGGAGAGGGGACGGCCCCCGGGAGCCACTGCTGCGCTTACGCAGCGGAACGATGCGGCCAGCTTGGACCACGCTGCCTTGGGATGAACCACAGATGCTGTTTTGATTTCATGAGGTCCCCAGCTTGGGCTAGCCCTTTCTCAGTGGAGTGGATATTTGCTCTTAAGCAATTCTAAGGGTTAAAGGAGTTGGTGCTGGGACTGTCTATTACTTAGGAAGGTCCGCCAACCTGGTTTTAATTCACAGGGAAGCGGTTTCCCATATGTTAGACTGCTCAGCTGACACTCAGCAAGCAGCTCTGAGGCCGCACAGATTCCTACAGAGCCATGGTCTTAAAGCAGTTTACTGTTATGGCTGTAAAGCTCTGTATATGACTACGAGGAAAAAATAAGATAAATGATAATGGGAAGTGCTTCATCTTTCCCCAAGTGGTTGCTACTTCAATGTGCTTGCTGTTAAGAAGCTATACTCTCACAGAATCATTTTGCAGACACAATCAAAAACAATGTGTGCGTATATTTTCATATGCATTCATGACTTCTTCAGTTTCTGCTTACACATGAACGTGATTGTAAATCCAGCTACCTTCAAGTCCTACCTCTGGCCTACGTTTTAAGTTAGCTGGGGAGGAGTGGGAATGTATTCCATGTCTGGAGGACTTGGGAGGTTAGCCGCATCATACACTTTTGTTTCTTTACTTTGAGGCTTGAATCCACTAGATGAATAGCGATCCATCCAAAACCAACCTGGGGTCTCTGTGCAGCTTCTGTGATTTGCACATATCGTGGCAGTAACTGACCACACACTTTTAGTGCATTTAACAGAAGTCAAAAGCTCCATCTTGCCTGTTCAAATGAGCAGCAGAACAACATAGGCAGAACTTGCCCATAAGAATGTTTTGAATCTGCAGAGGCTAAAATATAGAGGTAAACCATTTTAATGACATGGTACATTTGTAAGTAAGGAAATGTGATCATAGCAGCCCAAGACATGTGTCCTCTGGGGTTAATAAAGGCTTTCAGCACGTGGCAACAGTACTGCTCAGCTCAGCACAGGAACAGGCCATGACAAGGTGACCAGTGACTCTGTCGTGCTTTTTGAAGAGCTGACAGGGAGGTAGCATTGAAAAAAAACACAAAACAAGAAAAACAGCAGAAGACTGACACCATGGTTGCTGCTTACTCACCAGTAAGCAGGAGGAAGGCTTTGACCAGAGCTGCCCAGTAGATCTCTTCTTGCATAACCATTACCCCTTCCCCTGATGGATATCCTCCCTGCATATCCCCATCAGCATATGAGAGGGGCTGCAATAGCAGCAGGTAAACACAAGTACCTTGGACATGAAAGCTGACCCCAGTGGGAGAGAAGTGAGAGAGAGAAAAACATCCAGCTGTGCCAGCCTTACCACAAAATTTCACTCAATGGCACCACCCCTACCCTGTAACTCAACACAACGAAATCAGCACATATATGACACCTTGCAACTGCACCCTCATCCATGGCAGAATGACTGTGGGATACAATGTGGCTATAGTTAAGAACAAAATCAACAATAAAAAGTCATCAGTCCATTGCAATTCTACTAATTAAATCTTTTTACTTTGGGAAGGCAGATATGAACAGAAAGGTAACTCACTGGAGATGTAGTTAATCGAAGGATTGCTCCGTTCTTTATCTCATTACGATTCTGAAAGAGAAAAATCCAAAAGGTTTTAAGTCTTAAAAAAACACAAAACATGCATGAAGAGAACCCCACTAAAGCAGCACAGTGCTTTCCCTTGCCTCTGTGCACAAATTTCTCCCTATTTACACACAGGTTAACATGTACACATGTTCCCCATTTAGGCCTGCTAACACTGTCCTCAAGCAATAGGTGGCTGTTCGTATGACATTTAACAGATTTGAACTGTTTCAAGAATGACTTCATATTTTTCAAAGTTTAGCTTTCACTGGCAACTTCTGAATATTTCTTTGAAACGTCCTACGTAGCAGACACAAGGAACTGGCCATGAAGTCTGGCTCTGATTTTGTGCTGCATAGTTGAGTAGTTTGTAAGTTTGCTGAAACCTGTCATTAAGCATCTGCAGCATTTAAATTTCATCCCTCTGGCTCTCCATTTTCTATAACAAGAACATGCTGACTTAAACCACTGGAACCAGCCACTGAGCTCTACCACCACGACTCTGCAAAGTCAAAAAGCACTGCAGCTAAGCGCTAAGTAAAGTTCAAACATGCCCTAAGCTATTCTCCTCACGCTGCTGGCAGAAAGAGCAAGCATTAAACATTTCCCTTCGGTTAAACTTGCACAGGATGCTCAATTAAAATCAGGCTACAGGCAGATGAAAAGGCTACCGTGGTATAAGCCATGGTGGGCACATGCGGTGCACTCGCAACCTCGTGGTGAGTGCCCATGTGCAGGGTCCTCCCCTGTGCCGAGTGCAGGGCCTCCTGCTCGCCACAGGACTGCATGTCCTCAGCGCAGCGCACGTTCGCACCTGGTTCGTGGGCCCAGAACCTGATTCCTCAGAGGAATCCAAAGAATTCGTAACAGTTTGAGAGACATGAGTTAATCGCGTGTTTTAAATGAAAAATGTTCTTTTTTCGTGAAGCTGTTCTGAAGACCATGCTGCAGGCGTCCTGCAGACTGACATTTGGCCAAAAAAATCAGTCTGCATTTCTTTTCAGGCAATCCTTCCCAATTTCCTTTCATCCTTCCTGCTCCCAATCAGATGCATCTCCAATTCAACATGCTAAAAACAGGATGAGTCCTGCTCGAAACGAGGTCAAGCAGTCCCAAAATAAACTCCGTTACACTGTCTCTATCCTGGTACCCAAGTCCTCCATAGGATTGGTTCCAGCAATCCACAAGATCACCCTCCACCCACAAACGCTTCTTCGCTTTCACTGAAATAAGCTGTCAGACAACACAAGAGATAGAAGATATTTTTTTACAGAGCTTTGCTCAAATACACAAGCAAACCTAGCAGTCCCTCCCCAGCCATGCCACGGCCTCCCTGCCCGGGCACCACGTCTAAGGCACCTGCAGGAAGCCACAACAGGGCATCTGTGAGGTTTAATTTTATTCAGCACTGAAATAACTCACTTTGCAAATGGCTGTGGAGGCTTAGACTGTTACCACCTCCTGGCTTTGTGGAGCTGAGTGGAAGTAACTGCTCCAGGACAGTCAAACAGCTTTGGGTAAACCTACCTCCATCAACAGATGGAAGCAAACCACCATCCGGTGTTGTGTTAGGCCAGAGCATCCATGCACACACACACACACACATACACACACACACATACACACACACACTTCCATCACCTGGGAGGCAGCAAATCCCAATGCGCAACAGTATTAAATACAGGTAGGGAGCCGGGCAACACTTAAATTGCCCAAATCATATCCAAGAGCGAAGGCTAGATGATACTCTTTGGAAAAGGCTGGAGCTACGATAAATAAACCAATATTAAACATAAGTAAGAGCACTCGCACCAGTTTGTTTTTCAACAGCATCCCTTTCATGAGCTTCAAAGCAGCTCAGTTGCTCGTGTATTTCCTGCACTAACTAGCGCGAACTACCAAGTCAGCTACAAACGAGCCTGTGGTTTAACAACTCACTTCATTTGGGCACAGTAAGGATCTGTGCAAACACTCCCAGTCCACTGCAAACACAAGGTACTTGGCTTTGTGTGAGGAGGCTGCACTAACCACTGTGGTCCCAGGAGGCAGAGGACTTCACTCAACAGCTGAGGGCTTCTGAGAGGGGGTCTCCCCCGACTCCCTCCTCTACCAGCAGATGCATCTGTGGGTCAGTCTCGCTAGGTAACCCAGCAGAAAGCAGCACAAACAAGAGCAGAGAGGAGAGTTTTCGGGGGGGTCATATATGGAGACAGGCTCTGCGAGGGTTCAGCCCAGAGCTAACACAAGAAAGATGGTGAAACTACACAGCTGGGAGCTAAGTAGGGGTGGGGGAGAGGAAGCAAGGGAAACATAAGGAAGAATTTTATCTCCCACTTTTAGCAAGCTGTCCAAACAGAGCCGAAGTTACATTATCTTACAGTTGCTGAAGGCTGAAAGCAGGTTCCACAGCTTATTCAACTACACTAGGCTTGTCAAAGTTGAAGCCCTGACCCATAAAAAGATGGCCTTAACCTGAAGTAATGTGGGCTAAAAACAAGTCTCTAGTGATGCAAGAACACACTGCCTCTGCACAGGCTGAATCCACAGCCAAGCTCGCAAATGGAAAATACCCTGTTAAATAAATATGCTATTCCTCTGTAGTCAGAGAAATTTAAAAACAAGGGGAAAGAGGGAAGCTGATAACATTTTATGAAGTTCTAGAAACCTTGCTGAAGTTAAGACATCACACACAGGAAAACAACAAAAGCATCTCCAGAGTGACTATATACCAGCAGGTTACACACACACAAAAAAAAAAGCACAGAGAAAAACACCTACACAGTACAGAGAAGCATTGCTAGTAGTTGTGTTTGGGGTCTTTGTAATTCTTTGCCGAAAAGCGGCTGAGACGCCAAAGCCTTCGGACCCAAAGCTCCAGCACACGTCAGAGCCCACAGCACGTGGAAAGCTAAGACTTTTCTCTCTCTAATCACACGTGGCCCAGAGTAAAGTGCACAACATACGTCTGCCTGATACTGCAAATTTAGTCACTGCTATCAAGGGAGACAGACAGCTAGTCTTCAAATTCTGATTTGGACAAAGGCTTAACAAAAACTGCCTGTGCTTTTTATCTGAAAGTATTCAGAGCATCACATTTCTAACACAGCAGGCTAACCAAAACTTGAAAAGGGTTAGCTGTTCCCCAATCAAAAATCCAATTTTGTTTATCCATACTAAACAATGACTTAAGCACCTACCAAGAAACAGTGCGTAAGCACATAATTAAGCCGATTTCCCACATTAGCTGCGAGACGCAGCATTCAGCGCGCCAGTTACTTTCAATTGCAACGTTTATACACAGCTAATCTCCTCAGTATTAGGGACCGTGTCCTGGGGAGCTCTCTCCGGGGTAAAGCAGCGTGTTCCAACCCGGCAGGCTGGCTCAAGCCCTCCTGCTCTTCAGCACCTAAGATGGAAAACAAAACAAAACAAACAAAACAACCTTCCAAGACACTTTAGATCTGTTTCTTGTTTGTGTATTAGGTTTGCTGGCAATGTTCACTCTATAGACCTGCACTAGGAAAGCTCATTCTTGGAAAGTGAGGAAACTACCTTAACAGTGTTACCCAAAAAGAGACCTCCTAAAGAAACTCTTTGGGGGCAGGTGAACAGATTCTTCACAAACACCACTTGAAACTAAGACAGCAGACATATTATCGACACAAGTAAGCCTCAGTTGCAATACTGTGTCTAACAAGAGTCTACACTCACAAGATGATTTTATTCTAACCGAACGTGCAGTATTTCCAAGCATCCTACTCCTTTCAAGCTGAGTTTTCACCATACAAATATGAAACACACAACAAAACAATATGAGCAGCAGAAAGTGGCTAGGGATGTTTGCTTCACACTCCCTTCGTAGGGCCCTGGGCCTCCCAGCTCCACGGGCCGGAGCTCCCTGAACCTCCACTACCTGCCACGAGGTTCTGCTCCTTCTCAAAGCTTTGCTGTTTCTGCCACAGTTGCGGCAACCACCACCACCTTTTATTTTCTTTCTCTGTTTTCCTTTCCTCATTCCTTCTCTTTTCTGCTTTTCTAGTTTCCATTAACTCTCCTGGTTTCCAAAGTTTACATTTTCTTCCCAAGGCACAAATCCACCTTGTACTTTAAGCTCTGCTCATGGGAATGCTGCAGACCACGCTATTTGCTCCCATGAGTCTGCACAGTTACGTGTCATTAGGACCAAATAGCCTGGGGCATAGTCACTATTTCACCAAATTCACAAAGGGGTTTAGTGCAAAACCAGTTTGGAAGAGGAAAAGAAATAAGGCTAGATGGTTTCTTGTACTTACTTTCAAAAGATCCAGTAATTCAGAACTTTGCTGGAGACAGTCATGAAGAAGTTTCCAAGCAAGATTAAAGTTTTTTTCGTCATGTATTTGTCCTATCATTTTAATAATCTGTTATACCCTGCAAAATGCCTCATGACTCAGCTTGCTGTAATTGGTTGGACTGGAATGTTTTCCTAACATATTTGAGGAAGGCCTAGCAGCATTGGCTCTTGTGGTTAGAGCTCACTCAGCACATGCTTTTCTAGCTTTAGCCAGGCATTTTTCTTCACAGACCTCTCTAACCTGGCAAAAGAATAGCAGCTAAGAAATTCGAATTTCTTTACACATTTACATTCCAAAGCAATTCATTTTTCCCTATTCCTTATCATTATTATTATACTTTCCTCCAAGTTTACACAACAAAAAAAATAGAGCTCTGACATGCACTTTAAGTCTGTAACCTTTTCATCACGATGAATTTGAGCCAGTAGTAAATAAGGATAAGGAGACAGGAGACAGCAGATAGTGCTAATTTTTAAGTTACAATTCAGGAAAGAGATGCGGAATCCTTGTTGACAGATCTCTCTTAAATCGCTAAATGCTCTGCAGAAAGCCATAAAACATTGGGCATCATCACAAGCAGGACTGTGAACTAGGAACAGGACATCATTCTGCAACCATAGGAAAAAACCTAATGCATCCACATGCCAGGTGCTGTGCACAGTTCTGATCTTC